GTTCATTTTTATACTTGTATGAGTCATAATTTTGCCTTTTTTCTGCAAATTGCCTTTCAACAATACCTTTAGACAAACAAGCTAGTAGAAAATGAGGGTTTCTCTAAACCTGACAGCCGACAGAGCAGGTGAGTACATAGCTGGAGTACCAGGAACTGAGTGAAAGAAGGCAGCATTTGCTACCCCCCAAGATGTCTTTGGGATATTGATTCAGAATATTTATAAGAAAAGAAAGACTTCGGAAAAAACCTTCCACCTTCTCTCAAACTGCTTAAAACCATTTAGATAGAGGATCTCCTTCAAGAAGGGAGATATAATAAAAAAAACCTATAATTTAATATAAAGTAAATGTGATAGGGAGAAACCTAGCAAGGCTTTTTTGATAAAATCCTCTCTGTATGCAACTGTTAAAGACAACCTACCAAACATTTATTTAGCAAACATTTGTTTTTCCATCTCCATGTGATAGAGTCAGGTTAAACCCATCAGGGCAATTCATGGAAATTTGGACTTGAGACTGAGACAGGTAGTTTCTCCGGGCACTCACAACCAGAAGAGATGGAAAGCTAGATCTGGGGGGAAGCCTGTGCACAGCTCCTCACAGCCCTGCCAAGCTCTGTGCCCTGTAATATATGCCTATGTTCTAATAAAAAATTCTAAGGTTGTTTAATGTAAAGAGCTTTCAAGGCAGATCGATCTTAGTTCAAAATTTAAACATCAAAGCTATATTAACTATGTGATACTAGGTTGGTTGTTTTGTTACTGGTGAAATGAAGAGAGCGTGGCCCTTCTCTTCTTGAAGGAAAGAATTCAGTCAAGAGACAAACTATAGTGAAATAAGCAAGAATTATTTCTTGCTTATGGAAGCACACTCAGGAGAGTGAGAGCGCCCCAATCAATTACAGAACTCAGATATTTATGGGCTTTTTCTTCCTGAACTTCTTCGCTCCTGTCTCTTTAGCTCCCCCATCTAGCTTAGCTATCTATGCATGAGCTATGTGACTGAAACTGGTGACCTATAAGGCTGAACAATGTCCTAAGATTGAATCAGAGATCTGGTGACCACAAGCTCAAGTGTGGCGAAGCCTGTTTCAGCTTAACCCTGTGGAGGTCACGGTCAAAAAACTTCACAGCATAGGTCAAACATCACACACCTTCTGAAACATGTGTTATACTCAAACTGATGGCTTAAACATTATGGGTTAACATTAGTCATGTACAAATGCACAGCTAGTCATGACCTTGAACCTATGCACCTGATATATGTAACAATATTTAAAGAATTGCCTTAGGGCTTGTTGATGTGCAGGAATGCATGAGGATAATCTATCCCCTTTCCCTTCCTTTGCCTGCCCCAGCTCATGCCTAACTAGCTACCTATCCTAATGACCTGACTTCTCTAAAACTCAGTTTCCTCATTTGTTAAAAAGGAAAATGAATACCTACCCTGTGTAATTGCTATGATGATTAAATGAATTAAATCCACAGTGGAAAAGCAAAGTTCTTGGTATATACCATATGGTGCCCACTCAAAAGGTAGAAAAGATTCTCTTTGACACAAGTAGGACAAGGAACTTTATACCACAGGGTGTTAGGACAATTGTTGCATATAAATTAAATGTACAATAGATAATGACTTCATATCAAAAAAGAGAGCTATGATTTCTTTGGGGGAGAAAAGGCTGAAGAAGGGAAGTTTTTATCTTAGTTACTATAAAAACCGTTTTTGTGCTTCTCTCATGGGCATGTAAATTTTAGAAGCCTTTTTTTTTAAAAAAATAGACGTTTTTAGAGCAGTTTTAGGTTTGTAGCAAAATAGAGTGTAAAGTACAGAGAGTCCCCATACACTCCCGGCCTCCACATACACACACAGCCTCCTCCATCAACGAGGATCCCCATCAGAGTGATACATTTGTTACAACTGATAGCCAGCCCGGACACCTCACCAGATGTCCGACGTTCACATTAGGTTTCACCCCTGGCGTGTTACACACATCAGAGCTTACAGCATACAGAATAGTCTCCCTGAGAAGTCCCACTTAGGAAGGCTGTTTTGAAGACAAGCAGATAATAGGTTATTAATGGGCCACACATTGCGATCTGAATGTCTAAGCCTTAACTGAAGACTGGTCTAACAAAGGGTGACACTATTAGGCAGTAGGAGTTGGTGCTCCATAAGTCCTCTCATGAACAATTATTTCCTCCTTCCTTCATTCTTATCTCCCATCCATCCACCCATCCACCCGGCTTTCTCTCTCATCTACTAGTTTTGTTCTTTGGTTTTCCAGCACCAGAGGTTAGGGTTAGGGTTAGGGTTAATGTAATCTTTCAAGTTTCTATGCCTTTAAGATTTCGGTGCTAAAACAGAGGATAGTGATTTTCATCTTGGGTTCATCTTGGTTCTTTTCTTGCTGTATAACTGCAATGCTTTTCCTTAAAATTTAAAATATTATTTATTTAAAATTACAAAAACAATACAAATGTTTTTTAGGAAAAGAAAGCAGATAGTCCAGATAAAGTACAGTCCATCGCCGTTCACATTTCCTTCCTCTGAGGTAACCTATATATCAAGATTTTATTGATACAAATGATGGTGTGGAGGAATTTCTTGTGAAAACAGGTTCATAGTAAGTAGTCAGGCTGGTTCTGGTAAGTCATTCTCGATTTAGATTCCTCAAGACTGCCAGGCGCGCATCACCCTGGCAACCAGGGCCACGCCTGCGGGTGCGCAAAGGATTCTGGGGGCCCCAGGAAGGGCGGGGCAGGGCGCACGGAACATCCCCTGCTGGAGGGGATGGGGGGGAAGTCTGAGGCCACACGGTTGAGCAGGCGACGGGTGAAGAGCCAGAGCCTGCGGGAGGGGGGTGCTGCAAGGCCGCGTGGGCATGCAGGCTGGCGCGCTGCACAGCGTCTCCAGGTAGCTGCAGAGGGGAGAGCCTGGCGGGGAACCGGCTTTGGGCGGACATCTCCCCGGCTTCATTACGCCGGAGCCTGAAGGAGGTAGGCGGGGAGGGGAAGAGGTTCGGGCTGCAGGCCCGCGCGGAGCTGTCCACCGCCAGGTGCCGCAGCCTTCGGTGGGCTATCAGCAACGGGAGGAAGGGAGGAAGGGGCATACAATTGTTTAAAAAACGGTTCCTTTCTTTTCGGGCCTTGCTTTTTAGGAAATACGTACTATATAGTTTTAACATCTTAGTTTTTGCACAGATTTTTGTTCTGTTATTTTCAGCTCTTGAATCTATGTAGGAGTTGTAATAACAAATATGTAAACAGCTGTTTTGCCGGATACTTTGCTAATTAAATAAAACGTTCCTTTTTCCACTGAACTCTGCCTCCAAAGTTTTTGCTCTGGCGGGGAGCCTTGGACCCCTGCTGGTTGAGTGCAGTAACACTACAGCGCCACTGCGCTGTTCAGTCCGCTCTGTCCTGTGTCCAAGAGCAGGAAGAACACATTTATCCGTGTGACCATTTTAACTGCAAAGGCCTTGGTGAAATGTAGGGACCTTTCTGATGTGATTGTTAAAGATGAAAAGCTTTGAATTCTATCCCAGATAATCTGTAAATATGAGTAAAAGTATTGTCAGTGGTGGTTACCCGGGATGTACATTAGAATCACTTGGAAAATTTTTTCAAAATACATTTCAGACTTACAGAACAAGATTCTCTCAGGATGGGTCCTGGGCATGGACATTCTAACTGAGCTTGACAGATAAATAATAATTCTGCGCACACAGCCTTAATTTAATCCCATGCTTTTATCTGATCGCCCTGAGTGATCGTACCCACTCCCTCAGCTTCAGCCTCTGCATGGAGAGCTTCAACTAAGGTAGTCATGGCGCTAACAAAGATGAGAGCTAGAACCCAAGACATTCATGAGGTAGAAATAGTATTTACAAACAGAGGGAGAAGTCCATTGTTCTTATGAAAATTTCAAACTTACATAAAAGTCGAGAGATTACTATTAGCTTGAACAATATAAAACTGCCAGTATTCACCCGTGTTTGACCTACAGAAGGACAATTTCATGATTCAACATAATCTAAAACACTCATATACATATTAACCAGATTCAGTAATTATCAAGATTTTGCCTTATTGGCTTCATCTTTCCCTTTCTTTTCCTTTTTACTTTTTATTGCTGAGTAATTTTAAAGGAAATCCTAGACCTTAAGTCATTTTACCCATATATACTTGGCATATATCCCTAAAAAAAGTTTATACAACTTCATTGTGATTATCACACCTAATTAACAATAATTCCTCTGTACCATCGAATACCCAATACACATTCATACTTCTCTGTCTTTAACAATATCTTTTTACATTTTGATTGATTGAATTGAATTCCTAAACAAGGTGAACACATTGCTTTGGTGGTTGTGGTTCTTAAGCCTCTTTATTCCGGAGCAGTCCTTCCAAAACACCCCTCTTTTATCTCATGCCACTGACTTGAAGAAACTGGGTCATTTATTTACCCTGGGTTATGACAGTCATGGTGTAAGAATGAGCTTTGTGTCCTCTTCCATGATGTTATATAGTCTGGACCTCAGTCTGCCATATTGCCTGTAATCTTGAAGTCACTGTGTCTGTACTTATAGTCAGTATATCATTTCTTGAGTATACAGAGCCTATCCTTTACTGTGCCAAAGCTAGAGCCGGGTGAGTATGGTATCCTGGTTATGAAAGCTGTGTGACCTTGGGTAAGTTACCAAACTTATCTAAGCCTCTGCTTTTTCATTTATAGGATAGGAATGTAACAATAACTTGAAGAGTTCTGTAAAGATAAAATGAGATACTGAATACACAATGCCCAATATTGTGCCTGATACACAGACAGGCAAGCAGTTGCTCAGTGAATATCAGTTCTCACCAATGACAAGCAGTGACTTTAGCTTATATAATGGAAATACTCTTTTCAAAACATTTATAAAGTATCTGAAAAGTTATACTTTTTTGACATCAGAGAATATGTACAATAATTTGTAAGATTAAGCAATACCTACAGCAGAAGTGGAGAGTCTGAAGATTTTTGGAGAATAAATCATCTTCAGGAATTTAGCTCTACTGCCAAGGGAGCAGAGTCTCCTCTGGGCCCAAAACATGCTATAGAATAAAAGAAAAACTTTTAAAGAGAGTGCTATTTACATTGCTGTCAGACAGTTAACTGGTAAGTTTATATCAAATATATATATATATATAAAGTTTTGATAGATTTTTCTCTATGATATAATTTTTAAAAAAGATTTTATTTATTTATTTTTAGAGAGGGAAGGGAGGGAGAGAGAGAGAGAAACATCAATGTGTGGTTGCTGGGGGTCATGGCCTGCAACCCAGGCATGTACCCTGACTGGGAATCAAACCTGTGACACTTTGGTTCGCAACCCGCGCTCAATCCACTGAGCTACACCAGCCAGGGCTACTTTTTTCTCTATGATATAATTTCTTATCACTGGAATCAATGTAATCATTCTAATAAAATCCTCATACAAATTTATTCATGTTATTTTAAACCAGACATCTGCAAGGATATTGTTAATTAAAAGTATAGGGCTCCAACTTAGTCAAGAGCATTAAGTAAATGTTTCATTTCTGGTAGCTATAAAATCCAGAATATTTCAGTCTAAAACCTACTCAGACTTGTCTGAATAAGTTACTAGTAAAAGCACAATCTATAACAGTAAAGTTATTAAAAAAAGGTTATTTAGAAAGGATCATATCTGGTCCCTGATAAATATAAATACATGAAGGATTCTTAGGTTATTTTCTCAGATGGTACTTCCCTCAACAATTCCATAACTAGCAAGTCATTTCAGGAGTTGCATAACCAGCATGAATTCTAAGTTACTTCTATAGCTATCAGGATGTCATTATCAATTATGGGGGAGGGAGATCAAAGAAAAATGAAAGTCTGTTATAATGCCATGTGGAAGTGGGAGAACACTCAGCTTTCTAAGGACATTAAACCAAACAGACACTTCTCATGAGCTTTTTGCTCTGCAAATGTTGAATCGGGATGGCATTTCCTGCACCTCTGATCAAATTTTTATAAAAAGAGATCCTAAGAATTCAAAAGAACACTGAAGCTACCAAATGTTAAGGCTACAGAAAGCTTTATATATAAAAAATAATATATTGGATGTTTCTTAAAAAAGAGGACTATAAAATCCTAACCATCATGTGATTAAAATCTCAGCTTAAATAGGAGTCTCTTAGCCATTCTATATCATATCAGCTTATTTTAATTCTCTGCAAAGCACTTTTTTCGTGTGTTTGTGTGGCTGGCCACTCATTCACGAATTTATAATAGTATAGTTCACTACTGTATTCTCTGGTATATAGTAGGTATTTGATAAGTAAAAGTGTTAAATGACTGAATGAATACATAAAATCACATAAATTAATAATTTGAATGGATATTTGTAAGTCCTGTTAGAAAATATTGTTTCTTTTTGCAAAGTGTTTTTGCAAAGTGCAAAATTCAAATTATCCCTTGTGTTTTATGCCTTTCAAGTCAACGATCAGGTTTTCTTATATCAAGATATACTGCCCTGGCGGTGTGGCTCAATGGATTGAGTGCCAGCCTGAGAACCAAAGGGTCGCCCAGTTTGGGCACAAGCCTGGGTTGTGGGCCAGGTCCGCAGTAGGGGGCACATGAGAGGCAACCACACATTGATGTTTCTCTCCCTTCACCTCTCTAAAAAAATAAATAAAATCTTTTTTTTAAAAAACCATGCCTATTCTTGTGTCATTAATTGTTCTAATCAACGGTAAAAAATATCAACTGGGTTAGGCAGTAGAGATAGTTTTACTGAAAACTTATCAAACAACAGGAGCAATCTTCATTCAGTATCATGGCGTTATTTGATTTAGGACAATTTTTTTTTTCAGCAAATAAACATCCAGTTATTTAAATTCAGCCTAAGTTCTTTGGTATTAAGCAAAGTATAAGCAAAATGTTTTCTTGCAAGTAGAGAAATGAGAGAAACCTCTTTTACTTTCTTGGGATAAAATGGGGGAACAGGACTAGGAATCAGGATACCTGGCTTCTAATCCTTAATCTATTTAAAAAAAGAGTGGGGGTCTGCTGTTAGACAAGTCACTGACTCTTGTGGAGCCTCCGTTTTCCCATATTTCAAAACAGATGAATAAATGAATCCTTGGTTTGAAGGTAACCTCAGAAGGTAAGTCCCTGGCTGATCATGCCTGAGCTCAGATGGTAGCTCTTGGGAGATTTCACCCCAGGTGGTGAGCCCTGCTCTCTGGCGGCAAGGCCTCAGTACTGCTAGTCAAGCCATGTCTCCTTCTAGAAACACCATGTTCCTTTGGCTCTTGACATAGTACCACCTTTCATTTTCCTTCTACCTGTCCCCAACCTGCTGCGAAATGATGGAATTCCTCCATATACAGATCTGGGCTCTCTTCTCACTAGGTAATCTCATTGTGGAAGGAATTGTGAGAGTGATGGGTGAAAAAATGACTCCAAAACCTAAGCAGGCTGATAGAGATTCAGAACCTCTGATATTTTTCCTCTGCACTTTAAATAAACACATTTTAAGCAGCACTTTTCTAATGCAATTATCATTCCACATGTATGCTGAATAAGTAACAAATCAATGAATAAATCAATAAATTTGGATGGCCTTGAAAAGTGGGGAGGGGGGGATCAAAAAGGCATACAGCTTTAATTCTAAACAATATTTTCACTATGTTTTTTCTAGTTTTCTCCTTTTAAGACAATGTTCTGTGAAGAAAACCAGGCAATTGTGAGTCAGGGTAATCTAGAAAACCTGAATATGAGATATTACACATAAGTTACACTCCATATTCAAATATGCGTGGCCAACAGAAAATTTAACCATTCTCATTGGAGTAAGTTGTTTAAAATGAAGATACAGAAATTATGTGTGGCAAATTTAGGGATGACCTGAAGCTGAGAAGGTTGGTAAATTTTGGGGGGCAGAATTAAGAGCTAAAATGTAAGCAAGATAGTCAAAATGAATTGTGAAAAGATGAAAGCTCTGGTCTTAGATCCAAATGATCAATTTATAACCACTCTGTATATGGGAATGAGAGGTAGGGAGAGATTTAGTTAATTTGACATAAATAAGAACATTCAGGTTAACTGAAAGCTCAAGAAAGATTTGATGTGAGGTGACTGCAAAAAAGGTTAGTGCCAAAAGTCTGACCAAAGGAAAAGATCATTTGCATTTCCTGCTCTACCTGTTAGTCCACTGCTAGTCCACTGTTAGTCCACTGCTATAAGGTGCAATGACACAGCAGAGGGCATGTAGGAGGTGAACAAGGTACTGGCTGGTTTAGTGCAATGGGAACAAGACTCAAAGTCGTGTCATTGGAACAAGGGTGGAAAATATTAACTATATTTAGGTGGCACAATACTTAAGAAGACGTAACCCTGGGATTGTTGAATGGGCTGTTCTGTGAAAATGGGGTTCGTGTAATTATAAATTCTTGAGACAAGTGTAGCTGGCTGGTGTGAGTTGTTTTAGCACAATGTGAGATAAAACTTTCTAATAGCTGGTCTGCACCATTGGTGCCTGGTGTGGACGTGAGCAAGCAGCCCCAGTTCTTGCTTCAGGTACTAACTGCATGACCTGGAGGTGGAGGAATTGTTTTGTACTGGGTACGGGGCTCCCCCCTTACAGAGTTGCTCGGACTCCAAAAGTGACAGATTGGACTGCTTTTCTCTTTTAACTAAAAACTTTAGATTCACTTACATGGCCGGTTAACAGCCTTTGTTTTCTTTTTATTAAAAATACCATTATGGATAAACTGGAGTCGGTGTTACCCATGCCACGCTGTTTTCAAAATGCCCAAACTGCAAAATCAAGAGCAAAAAGGGCAATCGATAACCGGGGTTCAAAGTCCCCACCCTAGAAGGCCAGTCACCTTGGTGCCATCCCTTTTCCAGAGGAAACTCCGTTAATTCCAGCGCTGCCCTCCTGCAGCCTCCCCGGAGGTCCGCCAGGGCCGGGACCTGGGGTCCGGATCAGGAGGCTGGATCTGGAGCCCCGACCCACGCAAGCTCCAACGCGCTTCCGGCTCAGGAGTGACAGTCCTATTCCTTAAGGAAATCCAGACCGGCTCTTCTTCCCTGCCGCCGGCGCGCGACGCCCTCCTTCCCCGTCTCGCCGCGCAGGACACTGCTAGCCCGGACGCTAGTTTCACTGCACACCGCGCTAGCTTCACTGCATACCGGAATTTCTCGTGGCTCACTCACCTTCTTCGCGAGACAACTCTGCTTCTAGAGCTGGTCCTGCCAGGGATCCAGGGCCTGGTGGGGCGGGATTCGGAGGTGGGGGGGCGAAGCCTGGGCGGGGATGACGCGGGTATAAGGAGTACGATTGCGGATTGGCTGAAGGCGGCTGGGATCGCGGACTGGAAGGAACTGGACGGGAATGGGTAGGGAGGAGGTGAAAGGTGCAGGGCTGAGGGGAGTACTGGGGTAGAGATCAAGGTGCACATGGTTGTGGCCAAGGGATAGATAACCTTATGGGGTGTGTACTCAGGCCTCGATAGGCTGTGAGAACTGGTCAAGGTGGGTAGAGGAGCGGGGCGGGTTAGATCCGCGTGATTGAGGCTTAGCTAAGTGAAGGGGTGGGGGTGGGGCGGGACTGAGATGTGGCCCGGGATTGGGTACAAAATTTCGACTCAGGCCACTGATTGGCTGTGTGTGACTTCTGGGGCTGGGGCTGGTTATTTAAGGCGGCTTGTTTAGGAAGAAAGGAAAGCTCTGAGGCCACAGCGTTTAGGCACGTGGAGGATTGTAGTCAGAATAATGTTGGAAGCTGCTGGAGAGAGGGCAATGCTAAAGAGAGTGCAAAAAGATGTATTTATCACCCGTGATGAGGATGAAGAAAAACAGAAATGAGTTTGATCAGAGAACTGAGAATGAAAGGAGGATGTGAGACTTTGGACCTGCATACATAACACTTTAAAATGAAGAATGCAAATCGTCAAAGAGAAAAGGAACTCCTTTGGGGAAGGCGATGTTATGGAAAGGAGAGCTGCTGTTAAGAATGGAGTTTTCATCCATTCATGCAAAGGATAATAATTCCGATTATTACGCTAAGTGAAATAAGCCAGCCAGAGAAAGACGAACACCGTATGATCTCACTCATATGTGGAATTTAATGAACCAAATAAACGGTTGAACAAAATAAAGCCAGAGGCATGGATACATGGAACAGACTGACAGATCTCAGAGGGGAAGGCGGGGGGAGGATTCCAAGAGATGAGCCAAAGAACATATATGCATGTATACACAGCCCATGGACACAGATAATCATGTGGTGAAGGCTGGGGAGGGAGTGGCTGGAGAGGGACAAAGGAGGGGAAAATGGGGAACATCTGTAATAGTGTAAACAATGAAAAAAAGGAGTTTCATAATTACATTTTCTTCCCTTTCTATTTTAAGAAGTTAAGAGGGTAGGTGGTGTGGGCCTGACAGTAGCATTGTTTTTCATGTCTAGGGGAAAGAATAAAGATCATCTTTGGTTGAAGAAATTACTGTTCACGTAGCTTAAAGGAGGTTCAGAAGATGGTAAGGTGAATGGAGAAATCATTGTGTACAGTACATAATCTGCTCCTAGATTTTGAGTTGTTTTGAGAGGCATTCATTAGTCAGTAATCTCCAGACAAAAAAACCCACCAGGAGCACACCTGTAGTCAGAAAATTGGGTTTATTTGTCCTTGCAATGAGGGAGAACACACACCTTGTGCAAATTTGAGTCATTTTAATGACAGTATTAGAATGACATAGGATTTGGGTGATTTGGGGGTGGGATTCAAGGAAACGAGATTCAATCTGTTTTGGGTGCTGTCAAGATGTGGGGTACTTATGAGATTGGGTGTCATAATACAGCTTACGAGGAAGAAGGCAGGAAAATTGCAAGGTGAAGCCTGTAACTCGTAACTTGTAAAAAAAAAAAAGGCAAGTTTATCAGCTGGGAAAGGAGGAAGTTTGGTATTTTTGCAGTTGCAGAATGACCTTGTTTTATCCGTGTTTAGGCAAGATTATGAAGTGATCTTGTCTGTGGTCGCACTCCATCAGGATCACAGTGTGACTTTGTCTTATGCAGGGGTTGTGTCAGGTTGTTATGTTTTATAGGGACACACCATAGATAGTTCCTAACAACACCAGCCATAAGGGTGTCATTCAGCTCCCCATTCCAGCTGCTGCTTTTCTTTTTTCTTACATTGAACAAATATGACTTGAGTAGACAGGTGCTGAGGCTTCTGGGGAAAATGAGGCAGAGAAAGTGTGTCTTAAACCTTCCAGGAGGAGAAACAAGAGAGATACAAACTGACTTCAGAAGGTGGTAAGTACCATAAAGAAACAATGAGGGGTAAAAACAGCAGCTAGTTTGTGGAGGATGGTCAGGGAAGGCTTATTGCTTTTTGGGGGTGTTTTTTGGAGGAGCTAATATTTAAACCCAGAATTGAATGATGAAGAATCAGGCTTGCAAAAAAATGATTCTGGAAAGGGAAAGAGCAGCTGAAAAAGGCCCTTAAATGGGAGCAAACTTGGCATGTTTATGTAATAAGTAATAAGAGACCACTGTGTGTAAAATGTAGTGGTGCAGGGGAAAGTGCTTCCAGATTAGGGTGGAGAGAAGGCAGGGCCAGGCCATGCAGAGCAGAGGAGACCGCAGAAAGGAGTTCGGATTTTATTCTGAAGCAGCCATTGGAAAATCTTGGGCAGAGGAATTTAAAAACGATAGTCTAGCTGCCTTGGAGGTGCGACTTGTGGGTTGGCAAGAGCAGGAGCAAGAAGATCTGTTAGGAGTTTGTTAGAGCAAGAGATGAGGTTGGTGACTCAGGTACTGGCAGCGGAGGGAAAGAGGGCTAAAGAGCTCAACATTCTTTATGGTGACATGCACTTATTTCCTTGATTTCGGCACTTCCCCTCTGCTATCAACTACCTGGTGTCCACTGAGAAATAATAATTGACTAGGTGTTTTGTCACCAAAAAGGACTTATTCTGGAAAAAGAGAGGGTTGCAGCCCGTTGGACTGAGTGCCAAGATGCAGTGCAGGGGTATTTTAAAAAAGGGAAAGGAAGTTAAAGGCAGAGAAAGTTAGAACCACAGAGGTTTACTAGAAACATAGAGTTTTTTTTCTCTAGGGTTCTCACGTGTGTGGTTCTTCCCAATACAGTACTGTGTGAGAACTTCCTTAAGTTCTAGTTCTTCCCAGAGACCCTCCCGACTGATGACGTTTGCTCAGAGTTCCAGTTTGTCTTTACCACTAGCTTCTCCTGAATTCAGACAGTCTGTTTACTCTCTCCAGAGTATACCAGTGAACTGCTGATGTGCTCAGGTGAGGATGGACCTATTGGTGGGGCTACAGCAGACCAGGGGTGGAGACCTGGGGATCTGCTTGTTTCTTAGAAAGGCCTTTAAATGATTCTTCTGTATTTACTCCTGAACCTTTGGAGCGTTCTATGGGAGTAAACTGAGTTGGCTTTTTGGCTTTCTTCATGATTGGTCTAGGATTCAGCTTGTTTAAATCTGCTGTCAAGTATCGCCTGCCCATTTGCTTTATAAGTTCTGTAATTTTGTTGCCACTGTTATTTCACTTACTGTTTTTGTTCTCCTGGGGCTTAAAAGATCTCCTTACTGTTATACTAGTGGGTCTTAAGTAGAGAGAGAATGTAAACGTGTTTAATTTGCCATCTCTTGTTGTTATTGGTTTACACACATGTTCATTAAATGATGGAATGACCAAATGCTGGGCATCTGCATGCTTTGTTCATGTGCTAAGCCTTGTGTTATCTTTATACTCATGTTGGTGTTTGATGAGAAATATAAGTGACTCCCTAGAGTTAATAGCTAATAAATGCGTTTTCCTTATATCTTCTCCTGATTTCTATTCTGAATAAAAAGAAAATACTTTCTTTTTATCAGTAAGATAAAAGACTTTATCTTACAGATAGATAAAGCCTTTTCCATTGCCTCATATAAAATACTAAAAGTATTCTGAAATATAGCAGAGAGAGGACAGTATAGGATAGTGGGTAAGCCAAACTGTCTGGTTCAAATCCCAGCTCTGCAATTTTCTAGCTGAGTGACTTTGTGCCAGCTACTTCATTTATCTGTGCTTCAGTTTCCTCATCTGTAAAACGTGGATACTAGAACCTTGCTTATGCTGCTATTGGTTGATTTCATAGACTTGGAAAAATTTAGAGCTGTACTTGCTTCTTAGTAAGCACTAAAAAAATTGTTTTTTTAAGAAAAAGGAAAAGAATCTTAAGAAGGGAGACTGGTTATTCTCCAATATTTAGTATTCTCTTGTCTAATAATAATAGACCTTCCAAACTTCATCAGAGTACATGGGCGTTTGGTAGAAAGACTGCATTTCCAGCCTCTCTTGAAGCTTGGTCGGCCGTAAGATTAAATTCTGGCCCATAGAACATACGTGGAAGCTGGATATGCCGCGTGCAGGATATATCTTGAAGGGGTACAGTATGTCTTTATCAGTTCCTGGGTTTGCGGTTTCCCCACCAGTCCGCGTGCAGACACGATGGCTGCCGCCGCCTTGGACCACTAGAATCCGCTAACTGAAGATGGCAGAGCAGCCACCACTCCAGCCCTGGACTGTACTTACATGAGGGGGAAATCAGTTTGTTTTAACTTATTTATATGTTGTTGTTTTTTTGATACGTGGTCATGGTATGGCTGTGGCAGTTTAGTGACTCTTTTAGTTTGCTTAGCACAGGCATCCCACTTTACTTTTACGGGGGCCTTCCAGGTGACAATAGACGAGTGACAGGGAGGAGATGAAGGTGGAAGATGTTGGCAGTGCCTCATCCTCTGGAAATGCCTCTCAGGAGGTGGCTGTCACTTCTGGGTACTAAGAATGTGAAAATTTGGCAGGCAGGACATTTTTACTTTGTCTTATAACCCTAGCGCTGTACTAAGAAATACCTACTCTAGGAAAAAAGGGAATTCAGTCTGGGTTTGAAGTTCCTAAAGCCTTTCCCACCTTACATTCCTGCTGTAAAGAGTTATATTCTTGAAAGTTGCTGAGACTAGATCTCAGGCATTCTCATTACCCCCACACACAAGTTAACTGTTATCTGTGTGAGGTGATGCTTGTGGTAATTATGTTGATCTTGGAAGTCATTCTACAGTTTATATGTGTATAAAATCATCACATTGTACACTTTAAGTATGTACAGTTATATTTGTCAAGAGTTATATCCAGTTTTCAGCCCCCATGTAGCTATTTTAAATACAAGATTTATGTTTGTATGTATTATTAAAGTACATGCTTTTCAGCCAGATACTAATAGCTGTACAAACATTAGTTTAAATATTTAAAAAATCATAATGGAAATTGTATAGGAATTACAACTTCTATTGTAATAGGAATTACAATAGGAAGGCTGCCCAGGGTGACTATGTATCTGTTTATCTCTGTGTGTGCTGCCTGCCTGTCTGTCCACATGCACATTTATATGCTGCATTTATGGCAGTTTAATCTTAGCACTGGTTACCTGAGTCACTAAGAAATTTTTTTCATAGTCTCTGAACAATTTTTAAAAAGAGGAAATGAATTTTGACATTACAAATCAAATTGGTAGGAAAAAAAATTCTTCAAAACATCAGGTCCACGTGTAGGATATAATAATAAAAATTGGCCTTGTGGAAACTCTGGCAAGTATTGTGTCCTTCAAGACGTGGACCAAGTGTGTGTGGCTTCTGGCTAATGGTATCAGAAAATATCACTACATAAGTGAGTATCACTCTGCTAGAGCCTGGTAGGCATCGCTCTTCTGAGGAAGGTTTTATGTTTCCTTTCTCAGTCTGGCTTTGCCTCTGGAGTTCCTGATTTGCATTCATGTTGGAGTTCTTAAGCTCTTGGAGGCTCTTACAGGTTCTATGCAGGTTCTCAGCTCCTGGAGGGTTTCAGTGGGGACTGCCCCTTGCTCCCTCTATCTGTCATGGTGTGCAATGCCCCCTGGCACCGCTACTGGTCAGTACTATGTGCTTTATGTCAGGTGGCTCCTCTGAGCGATGGTAGGAATATAAATCAACAGTAGGTTCTCTAGGTTTGTAAAGAAGGGGTAATGATGAAATCAGTTTTGGAGAGGGAGAGGAGGAGTATTCTACTCTAAATAGTACAGAAATTTAAATAACTATAAAATTTCTGTAGTATTCAATAGGATATTAAATAATCAAATGTTAAACTTTCAGGGAGAAGCATCAGGAATGGTGCTGGGATGATACACTGTTCATGTAAGATGTTCATTCGTATGTTTAAAAATACTTATTTATGGTTTACCATGTGCCCTGAACCCTTCTAGCTGAGTCTGCGATGAACAAAATAGACAATGTTCCTGCCCAGATGGAGTTCAGAGTGTAGTGGGGGAGACAGGCAATGAATCAGAACAAACTTTGATGATAAAATGTAGTGATAAAATACTGTGAAGAGAAATAAAAATATTGGCCACTAGATGGAGCTCATTGCTCTCTTCTTTCACTTACCAGTCCACTCTAAAAGAGAGATGCTGTGAGCATGTTACACCATTGAAGTGTTTTGGGGGCCAGGTGGTGGGTGCTCTTTCTCTTCCGATCTCCCCCTCCCAACTTAATTTCTTTTCTTTTCTTTTTTAACTAACTGTCTGCTAAGGGGAATATGGTTAAAAACATACTAAGGAGGCCTCTGAGATATCTTGGGGTAAGGGGAGTAGATCAACTCCTTCCAAATCAGAAATCCTCTCCCCTCAATTTCTTGGGAATTTAGTTTTCTGTACTTATTTGTTTAATCTCTGAATTCACCGTAGAATATTTCCTTAAGAGAGGGACTACAACTATGTTCTCACTCCTTGGGAGAGTATGTAGTAGATCCTCAATGAATATTTTTTGAATGAATGATCCTTATAGCCTAAGCAATTACTGCTTTTCCCACAGGGTCATCTAATTCTCTAGGGACTCTGTTTTGAAGTTAGGTGGGAAAAAAATCGCAATAAAAACTGGGTAAGTTTGACTGTCTTGCGTTCTATGAAATCCTGTCTGTCAAAGAACTCTCGGTGGGACAGGTGGGATGTGCTTGTGTGTATGTGTGTTTGTGTGTGTGTATGTGTGTGTGTGTGTAGTAGGTATATTATGTAGCACTCTGAGTTCTGGGCCATATTTTTTCCTCTTTCTATTTAGATAAAAGTCTAACACACATAATGGACATATTTTTAGTGCTCAGTGGAACTTAATGAATATTGGGCACATGCTTTGTTAGGGCTAACTCTATAAAGAAGGTTCTTAAATCTTCTCTTCTACAACGAGTAAAAGGAACATCATAAAAACTGCAAGGGAGTTGGAATTTAAGGAGATTCATGATGGGTCATGTTTGAATCCACAATCTCTTGGTCTTAGAATGGTTTCCAGCGCAGAGATCCTGTGCATGTGTTGTTAGATTTCTATCTATTTCATTTTTTAAAAAACAACCATTGTAAGTGATATTGTTTTTTAAATGTTGGTTTCCAATTGGTCATTTCTTTTATATAGAAATACAGTTGAAAATTGTTTTTTGTGTTACAACCTTGTCTTTTGTCTTACAACCTTGTTAAACTCACTCATTTGTTCCAAGAGGTTTTATTTTTCATTTTTAGATTCCTTGATATTTTTCTATATGGATAATCATAATGCCTGCGAATAAAGACAGCTTTATTTTATCTTTTCTGATCTATATGCCTTTATCCCTTTTTCTCCCATATTGTACTAACCCTTTTAGTATAATGTTTAACTGGACTGGAGAGACTAGACATTCTTGCTTTGTTCCTGAGTTAAGGGCAAAGCATTCAGTTTTTCATCACTAAATACGTTAGGTGAAGGGTTTTTTGTAGATTCTTTTTAATCAGCTTAAAGAAAGGTCACTTTTTCTCAAGTGCAGTTGTTGCGGAAAAAATTACTCACACGCGGGGAGATGGCGAAGCACGATCCTTTATTACGCACGGGCTCAGAGGGGTTAACCACACAAATTCTCTGAGCAAAGAGTTTAAGCTGGAGTTTCCTATAAATACTTGCTACAAGGCAAAAAGGGAGGGGGGAAGCAATTGCTAAAGCAAGCATACAGAAGCAGAAGTGAAGGTTAATGCTTTGGCCTTGAGATAACAAGCCATTATCCTAGGAAAGGCCACTGGCCAGCTCCTACCTAAAAATAGCTTTTGTTCAGCTACGTCCTGTCACATCAAAACAAAAGGCATTGTGAAATTTTGCAGGTGTTACAGAGAGCACTGCTTATCAAAGAAGCTGCAGAGCATAGAAGCTTTTTATGGGGTTTTCTTTTCCTGCCACATAGCGACATTTTTCCAAATTCTAAAACTGCTTGAGTTATGCCTTCGGCAAAGAGTGAACAGGAAAGCTCTATTCCTTAAGTCTTTAGCTTATGATACATCTCTTCCTTCTCATGTCATTCTGGAGATACTGTATTTCTTTATGAAGTTTTTCACTCTCCTGTTTGAATCCTTCATTCAGAAACCGGGCTTGTTCCTAAAAAGGACAAATCATGAATAAAGTGTAGCAGTAAGTAAATCCCTAACTTCTATCTATTTTCCACATTCACAGATTTTTTTAGAATTTAATTTCTTCTTGAACTTTTCTCCATTAATTTTTATTATACTTTCTCTTGGGCATCCTAGCCTCATGATTACTTTTTCTGAGCCTCCTTTAGCTAAGAAAGATTTTTGGCTTATACTTTCTGATATATTGATAAGCTTCAATTACAAGTCTTGGTCTTTTATCCCATTAATTCTATACATTTGTGGGCAATCTTAATCATATGTTTGTTTTCAAATCTTACCTATGCATTAAACACTTTTATACACACATACACAGGGAGACTTTTATATACACACATATAATACACACAAATTCTTAAAATCAAATGGAGTGTCTGAATTTTAGATCAGTGAATTGGATTTAGGCCTCACAGACTGGGGGCAAAGGTAGCAGAATATAAATAAGGGAATCCAGGCCGGAAACTGTCCATATGGGCTTCCTGCACATCGCTCATCACACAGACTGGGAGTAGGGCCGAGGAAAGAGTCAGGAGTGACAGACTGATGCCAGTGTGAGAGTTCAGGAGTCTTTCTGCTCACAGCTTCTCTTAGAATTAAAGTCATACCACATGTGACAGAAAAACAGTCATTGTGGATTCCTTCGAACAGTGAAGGGGATTTGAATATCTTACCAAGCTGTGTGACCCTATAAAAGTTATTTACTCCTTTCTGAACCCTATTTCTTCTCCTAAGTCATGGGATAGAGTTCTTGCTTCATATAATATTAAAGAAAAGATACAGATAAGACATTTTTTATAATGCCTAGCAGATAATAGCTACCATTGATTGAAGACTATACTGATAAATGACTAGACGTGATATAAATTCAAATACAATTTTTAATAACCAGACATAGGCAGGCCCAGGACAGGCAGACAGATAGGATTGAAAAATATAAGTGGGTAAGAAAGGTCCTTCTAGGCTTCATGGTCTAACAGCCACTCAAAGAGATCAGGGAGAGTGGAGAGAAAACAAGAAGAGAAACCTCGAGGTGAAGCAATTCAATACCTGAAGTTTAAGATTGAGAACTCTGTCTCGTTCTGCCATTAACTGGGCCTTCTCCTTGTCCGCCTTCTCAGTCACTTGTTGCAGAATCTCCTCATACCTCTTTTCTTTCTGCTCCATCATCTGCTGATTCTTTATCTGCATCTCCTCCAACATTTTTTTTGCAGCCTCTGCAGATTCAGCTTTCATACGTTGCTCTGTCAGGAGGAAAGGAAGAAAAAAAGCTCATGGGTGACCATGTTGCTTTTTTTTCTCTGCACACTTACCTGTTGCTGTTGCTCCTGGCTGCATCTGCCATAGTCAGAGCTCACTTCAGCTAGTGAGAGGCATCTTTGCTCATTTCACTATTGTTTAAAGACCCCAGGTTCACCCAGCCAAATTATTTGAAATTTTAAAAGCTTTCGAGGCTATCTAGTCTCTTGCTCCTCACCTTCAATCTCCTTTTTCCTTCTCTGTGAGAGTCTGGTCTATCTGTAGAATTGTTTCAGTCACAGCCTCCTTGGACTCCAAGTATGTCCGAAGAATTTCCTCACTCTAAGACCCAAAGAAAATGGAGCTAGTAATAGGAAATATCTGTAAGCACCTATTCCTATTTGCCTACCATCTTTTCCTCTGGGAATTGCTTCCCTTGGCCCTGGTGTGTCTGGTGGTCATGATGCACATGCTCCAGGTTGCCCAAGCATTGTACTCTACAAAGCAGATTCCTTTTTAAGAGACTGATAAATATGGATGGAGAGTCTCTGTTCTTTGAGTGAGGGCTCTAATTTTGGAGCTGTTAGTGCTGTGGTCCAATATGGGGTGAGCTTGCTGGGGAATGAACCCACTGTGGAGAAAGCAGATCTAAGAAAAGGAGGTGGAGGGGGAGTGGAGGGAGGGAAGTGTGGGGTTGAGGGGAGCAACAGACAGAGAGATAAGTGTTGGTTACCTGTATTCCCTTCCTGGGTTCCTGACGGTATTGTTTTTCTAGCTCCTGCCTCTTCCGGATAAAAAGATGATATCCTCCTGGTTTAGAATAAATCCCCTGTTTTATATCTTCTTCCAGAGGATTGAAGATATCCTTAAGTAAAGCTGAGCAACGATCTGATGATGCTTTCATATTCTGTGTACAAATGTCTTCTTCCTTTTTTTCTAGCTGGGCCTTTAATGTGAAAGTAGGAAGTAGAAATAATGGAGAGAAGATGTTAGCTTGACCTCAGAATTTTTGGAAAAGCTTCTCAAAAATAAAGTCTGTGCCCCTATGAAACTCACAGGACCACATCCTCTTGATCTTGTGTTTCTAGTGAAGTTCCTTTCTCCCTGGAGGTAAAGTTTATGGCAGAGATTGCTATCCTTATGTTAGCATTTATGCTATGCATCTGCTGATCAACATGGGCCATGGCCTTTTGCACTGCATCTGCATTCTTCATCTGCGCCAAGGCCAGGACCGCAGGGCAAATTCCCACAGCTGATGGTATTGACATAGGTCAGCACTAGGCTCTGTAGTCCTACAAATACACCTTTAGAAATAAACTTCTGCTTTTCAAATTGGACCAATGATTGCATATGGAAGAAATGTGGCTCAATATAAGCCTGCTTAAGATAACTAAGACTACATATTCCTTTGCTTTTGGCTATAACATTAAATCAGTCTGATATCAGCAAGTATGTAATTTGATTAGGAGCTCTGATTGTTACCTCTATGCACTTAATTAAAGTCGAGAAAGAATATCAGTTTTTGAATGAAAAAAAGTTTCAAAACTTTGAGTCAATCATAATAAAATTGGTTCTTGTCATAATAATAACAATAGTGGTTCTTATCATTTTAAAGTCTAGTAAAAATTCCGTCTCATAACAATAACCCATTTTATTTTCTACTAATATTTCACTTTCTGAGATCCTAATCCATATAAATATAATGAAAAAAATTACCACTAATTCCATTTGGAATAAATGGTCCACATCCTTGAATGAGTTCTTCATGAAGACTTTAATGGCCTCTTTCTCACTGGCCCTGTGCAGGGCCAGCAGCTCCTGGACGGTTTCCGTGGGCAGCTGCACCTTCTGGGCCATCTGCTCATCATAGAGGGCAATGGCCTTTTTCACTGCGGCTGAGTTTTCTATCTGGGCCAAGGCCAGGACCGCGTTCTCCATGCAGGGCAGACCCCCACTGCTGATGGCATTGATGTAGGTCAGCACCAGATTCTCCAGTCCTGCAAAAGAGAACAAATGATAATGTTGACTGTAGTTGGGGTGAGGAATCAGTCTCTTCTGTGTAAATCTGATGATAATCTTTTGCCACTTGTTTGCTTCATAGCATCAGTGACCTCAGCATCACCTGGAAGCTTGTTAGAAATGCCTACTCTCAGCCTCTGCCCCAGATCAACTGAATTAGACCCTCCTCTGGCAAGATCCTTGTGTGATATGAATACATATCAAAGGGTGAGAACCTCTGTTCTGGATACTATAGATGTGTGTTTATTGAGTACATGTACTTTATCGCCAAGCACCATTAGGACAGGAAATGTATCTCTCTCATTTATGTCCCTATCATCAGTCCTGGTCCGTGGCAAGCAATTGTAAAATTGTTATTTGTGAAACAATTAAAAAGGAGTCCTTCATGTTATTTATTCTAATAGAACACTGTCCAAGAGAACTTTCTGTGATGATGGGTGTGTTCTATACGTGCTGTCCAATAGTGTAGGCACTAGCCCTTTGTAGGTATGAGCCCTTGAAAATAGCTGTGTAATCAGAACTTCTAATTTTCTTTAACTTAAATTAATCTACATTTAAATTTAGATAGCCATATTTGTCCATTAGCTACCTTAGTGCAGGTAGCTAAGGATAGTACAGGTCCAGTTTACTAGGGCAATTTTAAGCAATAGATCTTCTTTCTTTGTCCTTTCCTATCTTTTCTCACCCAAGAAATTTGACTAATAAAATCTATTAGAAATGTTGTGTCATCTAGAATGTACCACAGAAGTAGTAGTAGATTTGCATTTTTCACAGATGACACTAGGTGGATGTTATTTCACCTTCCTTTGGTCCTAACAGTGAGAGTAAAGACTAGGAAGAGGACTCACGAGGTCCATTGACCTTGATGCCTCCTGGAAGTGTTTTAACTTTGGAACTGTTGAAGATGTAGGAGCAGAAGACTGTAGCTTTTTGCACGAAGTCGGAGTCTAGCTCATCATCATGTAGGGTCTCAAGCTGGCCTAGATTCTTCCCGTGAGTGGGCCGATCAAAAGTAAAGCATTTCTTCTGTGGGAAGAACTTCCGGATACAGAGTCGAGGAAAATTAAAATCTTTATCCTTTTGATCGTCAACTGGAAAAGGACAAAAAAGGACTTTGCTTAATATAGGGTCTTGGGAACTTTATCTATAAAGGACCAAACAGTAAATATATCAAGCTTTGAAAGTCAGAAGGTCTGTTTTCCAAGTACTTAATTTGGCTATTAGAGCATGAAAGCAGCCATAGATAATCTACAAATGAATGGGCATAGCATTAATCCAATAAAACTCACTTATGAGACAGCTGGAAGGCTGTATTATCCATCATTTGCCTGTGGCCATAGTTTGCCAACCACTGGACTAGTTCACTGTTATGCTTTAATCTGTTTTCTCTTTTTTAGTATATTTTACTGATTATGCTATTAGAGTTGTCCCATTTTATTCCTCCCCTTTATCTCCCTCTGCTCTGCACCCTCTCCCTGTACCCCCTCCTTCTAGCATCCCCTCCCCCTTAGTTTATGTCCATGGGTCATCCATATAAGTTCTTTGGCTTCTCCATTTCCCATACTATTATTAACCTCCCCCTGTCTATTTTGTACCTACCATTTATGCTTCTTATTCCCTGTACCTTTCCCCCCATTCTCTCCCCATCCCCTCCCCACTGATAACCCTCCATGTGATCTCCATTTCTGTGATTCTGTTCCTGTTCTAGTTGTTTGCTTAGTTTGTTTTTGTTTTTAGGTTCAGTTCTTGATAGTTGTGAGTTTTTTTGTCATTTTACAGTTCATAGTTTTGATATTCTTTTTCTTAGATGAGTCCCTTTAACATTTTATATAATAGGGCTTGGTGATGATGAACTCCTTTAACTTGACCTTATCTGGGAAGCACTTTATCTGCCCTTCCATTTTAAATGGTAGATTTGGTGGATAGAGTAATCTTGGATGTAGGTCCTTGCCTTTCATGACTTCAAATACTTCTTTCCAGCCCATTCTTGTCTGTAAGGTCTCTTGTGAGAAATCAGCTGACAGTCTGATGGGAACTCCTTTGTGGATAACTGTCTCCTTATCTCTTGCTGCTTCTAGGATTCTCTCCTTATCCTTAATCTTGGGTAATTTAATTGTGATGTGTCTTGGTATGTTTCTCCTTGGATCCAACTTCTTTTGAACTCTCTGAGCTTACTGGACTTGCATGTCTAGTTCCTTCGCCAGATTGGGGAAGTTTTGCTTCATTAATTTTTTCAAAAAAAGTTTTCAATTTCTTTTTCTTCCTCTTCTCCTTCTGGCATCCATATGATTCAGATGTTGAAACAATTTAAAGTTGTCCCAGAGGTTCCTAAGCCTGTCCTCATTTTTTTGAATTCTTGTTTCTTCGTTCTGTTCTGGTTGAATGTTTATTTCTTCTTTCTGCTCCAAATTGTTGATTTGAATTCAGTTTCCTTCCCTTCACTGTTGATTCCTGACATATTTTGCTTTATTTCACTTTGTATAGCCTTCACTTCTTCCTTTATTTTGTGGCTGTACTCAGTCATTTCTGCAAATATCCTAATTACCAGTGTTTTGAACTCTGCATCTGATAGGTTGGCTGTCTTTTCATTGCTTAGTTGTTTTTCTGAAGTTTTGATCTATTCTTTTATTTGGGCCATATTTCTTTGTCTCTGTGCACCTGTTACATTGTAAAGGGCAGAATCTTAGGTATTCACCAGGGCCAGGCAACCTTCTTTGCTGCATTGCGGAGCTGTCTGTGGGGAAAGGGTCAGAGAAGGAATAATGTTGCTTGCTTGGCTCTCACCCTGCTTTCAGTCACTTTCCTCGATTTCCACAAACAGATTGGGCCCTTTCAGGTGCTGATCATTGGGTGGGTGGGCTTGTGTACATTCTAGGATCCTGTGGGCCCCTCAAATGGACCCCCCTTGAGATTAACAGTTTCTCCCACCATTGGAACTCCCATAGGTTTTTACAGTCAGAGGTTTTGAGGCTTATAGTTTCTGACCCTGGAACCATGGGTTGTGTGGTCTGTCTCACTCCCCAGTTGTTTCTCCTGGCTTATCTGCACGTGTATGTGGGATATCATGGTCCACCAGCTGCTGCTTTGCAGCACGTCCCTCTCTGCTGGGTGCTCATCTCTGCCCCCTCCTACCAGTCTGGATGAATACTTCTTTAACTCCTTGGTTGTTGGACTTCCATACAGTTCAATTTTCTGGCAGTTCTGGTTGTTTTCTGTTTTTTAAATTGGTTGTTTATCCTTCTTTTGGTTGTGCAAGGAAGTGAAGTGTATCTATCCCTCCATCTTGGCCTAATCTATTTTCTTTAAATAAATGCCCACTCTTCTTCATATTCATTGGCTAATTACAGCATCACAAGCCCTAAGCAGGGACATAAAATTCATTGTATCATAGCACAGGGAGAGCTGAAAAAAAAGCGAAGCTTATTCTTAGAATGAGAAAAAAGACAATTCAATGTCAAATCTACTAATTCAGGTACTAAACAAGCAGGCATTAATTTTTAGTAATATACAGCTGAGGAGAAGTAGAAAACTATAAATATTGGAAAACTAAGTAGAAAAAAATTTAAAAAGTGGTAGTTGCTAGTGTCTTGTCCTTCCCAATAACCAATTCTAAGTCCCCTTCACCTTTCCTAAGTTTGAGTGAATTCTCCAGGTACTCATCCGCTGTGATGCGTTGTCCATTTGCTTCCAAGTCTAGGGAAAAGTCCCTCAGTGTCCACACAAAATCTGGAAAGAAGCGTATGAAGTCAGCAGAATCCTCAATCTCATTTGCACCAGGTGAAGATTTTGCCCGTATTCGATCTGTCATTTCTGTCACATAGCTGAGTAGCAAACTAAGGAAAACTGGTGTAAAAGAACAGTGCCCCTCATCCCACATTAGTCCCACATATTCAAAACCTTTGTTTCTAACCCAAGAGTCAATTCTTCAGTAGGCAATTAGGATCTTTCTTTTGCCCTTGAATTATTTTTTTACATTTTCTCTTTTTGTGCTTGATTCACCAGGATTCACATTCACATAGCTTGTTTTTTAACAGGTCTCCCTCTGATTTTGATGCCGTTCTTGACCACAAAAAGGATACTGCAGCTGGTCCATGGCCTGCTGGTTGATGGTCCCCATGCTGTTGTACACAAAGGTGCTGCTCAGCAGTATTGCGAGAGCAAAGATCCAGGAGTCGTTTTGGTTGTCACCCTGGAAATCAGAACACGTTTGGGCCAGGATTATGTTTCATTCTCATGGCACTTTCCAGATCAGCAGTAGTAAAAGGATGCTCATTTAATGAGTGTTTGTCTGTGTGTTTTTTTTAGATTAATGACCTATAAGAGGAAACCAAATCCAAATGAAAATGATTGTTAATAGGACTTGGACTTTGAATAGTTTTCTGATTACTGATTTTGGTGTACACTGATTCTCACTAGATCCTCTTATGATCATTGGCAGATAATTGTGAAACAAATAGTCAAGCTTGGTAGACATTCTAGGCCTTAAGTGTAATTTTTATTGAATTTTCTCTCTTTTACAGCAATATTGACATATAATAGCAATAATATGTATAGTTATTTTATTGAACAATTATTATGTACCTAACACTTTCCATTCTTATTAAATATTCAAATATTCCAAACAATATTATGAGGCAAATATAGATTATTTATCTGTTTTATAAATGAGAAAGCTGAGGTTAAAAGAGGTAAAATAATTTGTTAAGGCAACTGTGTTAATGACAGAGTTTAAGTTTAAACAGTATAGGACTTTTGAACATAAATCTTTAACTAAAGCTCTCTGCAGTATAAGAGTCATGGCATTGATTTTTTTATACTGCCTGTATACATCTGGGTTAACTGGCTTAGCTTATAGCCTGTTGTTAGTAACTAGACCACTATCTATTGACGACTATGTGCTTCTTCTGGGATTCTGCCTTATGAATATTTTTCTGACCTCTGATTGTAAAACTTAGTCTCATAAAACATAAGCAGAAATGAAAAAAGCATAGTTTGGTTCAGTGCAAGCTCTTATTTGAAGAAAAGTTAAATAGTGTAGAGGATATCCAAATATGAGGGGCTTGTCCCCAAACTGAATCTTCAATACTTACCTTCTCTACATCTCCCAGGCCCTCAGTGTCAAGCAGCACGAGGGTGTGGTCTGCCTTTTCAGGATGAGGCATACACCACATCCAGATTCCCTTGGTGTGAGACTGCACCGTGGAGCCCAGAGAGAAGCCTGCCTCGGGGAGAGGAGGTGAGAGGGAGTGGAGTTTTAATAGCAGATGTGTCTTGAAACTGAGATAAGAGTTAACATATTCAAGGAGAGAGAACCAAAACCACAACCAGTATTAATCTGAATCTTACTTACAATTAGAGAAATAGGGAAAATTGAATATCCATTACATGAAAACATTCAATACCTTTTTATGATTAAAAAACAAACAAACCCAGGACTAGAAGGAAACTAACTCAACATAGTAAAGGCTATGCATGAGAAACGTTCAGCCAACATCGCAGTCAATGGTGAAATACAGAAAGCTTTCCTTCTATAAAAATTAACCAAAGTAGTTCAAGGAGCTACATGTAAGAGCTAAAACTATAAAACTCCTAGAAGAAAAAATATGGGAAAAGCTTCATGATACTGGATTTGCCAATGATTTCTTGGATATGACAGCAAAAGCATAAACAACAAAAAGAAAGTAGGTAAGTTGGACTTCAAGATTAAAACTTTTGTGGATCAACAGAGTTTAATATTTATCCTACAGAGTAAGGAAAAATGTTTTTCACTTATGAATCCATTAAGGGATTGATATCGAGAATACACAAGTAAGCAAAATATAACCAGAAACATTGAATTAAAGAACAAACTGACAATAACCAGAGGGGAGAGGGGAAAGCGATAATGGGGGGGAAAAGAGGGGAAGGCCCATCAAGGAGCATGTACACAGGCCACGTGGACAAAGCCAAAGGGGGGTAGGTTTGAGGGTGGGAGGCAGGGATGGGTGGGGGTGGGGGGCCGAGGTGGACAACCATACTCGAACAACAATGAAAAGAGAAAAAAAGAATAATAACAACACTAAATTAAACACAAAAAAGAAATCCTACAGTGCAACCCCAGAAAACAAACAACCCAATTAAAATTTTTCACAATTAAAAAAATGAGGAAAGGACTTGAATAAAAAATTTCTTAAAAGAAAAAATACTAATAATCAATGAACACATAAAAAGTTGATTAGCATCACTAGCCATTAGGGAAATACAAATCAAAACCACAATGACATACTATTTCACACCCATTAGGATGACCAATATCAAAAAACAAAATAACAGGTATTGGCGAGAATGTGGAGAAATTAGAATTCTGTGCATTTCTGGGAGAAGTGTAAGATGCTGTAATTGCTGTGGAAAATGATATGGTGATTTCTTTAAAAATTTAAAGCATATACTTCCAGGAAAAGAATAAAAATTTATGCTTTTAAAAAGAGAAATTAAGACAAAGTGAGAAGAGACAGTGAGTTGACTCAGATTCAGATAAGAGCAGAACTATAGATTGAAAGTTAGCTTTCAGTATTCCTCCCATCTCCAACTTTCTCTCCTTGCAACACCATACTCAGTGCTGGGAGTGTGTGTGGACAGAGGGATCTGGAAGAGCTGCTCTGGTGTCACTCACCCTTGGTCTTCCCAGCCAGCTTGTTCATCAGGTAGGATTTGCCTGTGCGGTAGAGGCCCACAATGGCCACCACGACAAGAGGCTGGGTAATGGCAGACAGGATCTTCAAAGCTTCTGGATTAACTGCTAGTTTCCCATTAGTGTTCTCAATGAGGCACACTGGGGCCGGCATGTGGGTTTCTGAGGCCATGTCTAGGGTGCAACCTTGTCTGCAAGAGAGGAGATGGGATGGAAAACAATTTCTAGTCAGAAGCTGAGCAAGAACTTACAAATGAACTAAAACTTTATTTTCTGCCTTTGCCCTTTGTTCCCAATATGTTTTTAAAATTCCTGTGGCCCCTTTAAGGTTGTCCTATACACTAGTCTACTGGTTTTCTTTACACATAAATGAATTTTGAAATAATTTTATATACAACAGGTTCAAATAGTTTTCATACACAACTTCCACAGCATCTGGAATGTTAATGCTTTATACGAAATTTTAATGTTGCTACAATACTATTAACCAGCGTACATACCTTTTTCAAATTTCATCATTTTTGCCACTAATGTCTTTTTCTGATCCACAACCCAATCCAGGATCTCATCGCTGTCATTGTTTCCTTAGCCTTCTGTCATTTTGGATAGTTCCTCATTTTTTATTTGATCTTTCACAACCTTGATATTTTAGAAGAGAACTGGCCTGTTAGTTTGTAGAATATCCCTCAGTTTGGAAATTCTTTGATGGTTCCCCATAATTATATTTGGGTTATACATTTTCGGTAATGCCATCCAAGTGGGGTTCTGCCAGGCTCAGTGCATTGCATCACGGGATTCGTGATGTCAGTATGACACTGACGCTTTGATGTTAACTCTGACCACTTGCTTCAGGTTGTTTCTGCCAGGTTTTTCTATTGTAAAGTTTCTACTTACCTCTTTGTAACTACAAAATACCATTTGGGAAGATATTTTTGAGATGGTGCAATTATATTCTCACCATACTTTTCTATCATTTTCAATGCTAATTTTAGCATCCACTGACAATGATTTTGCCTGTAGCAGTTATTACTGTAGTGTTTGCCTATGTGTCATTTTTTATTCTCACCATTCCTTTGACATTTATTAATTTGAGTTCTACTATAAAGAGAAGGTGTCCTTTCTGGTCACTTTATTTATTTAGTCATCCAATTATTTAGTTGTGCCTGTATAGTTTCATAGTTATTTATTTTATTCTATGGATTTGAATACTTTACTATCATTATTTATTTTATTGCTTAATTTGCTCCATATTTTTTATTGATACTTTTTGAGGCTGGCTCCCATGTCCTTTTGGCATGCACCCACCATCTTCTGAGCATTTCCTTCTTTCTGGTCCCACAAGGTATCCCACCTAGTATTGCCTCTGATTCAGTACTTATGTCAAGATCTCCTACTAGGTATGTATATCATTTCTAGGCTTCTCAAGGACAAGGTTAAAATATGATGTATATATGTATGTATGTATACATATTAACACAGGTGGACAAATATGTTTCTTCATCTATCCATTTTTATACACAACTTTGACTTCCTGTTTATATTTCTAATTCTAATCTAATACAACAGAATTTATTCAAGCTCTTCTCCTTTTTTTTCTTTTCTCCTTTCTCTTACTATGAGAACTCTGGTTCTCAATATCTGTAATAATTTAATTATTTACTCCATTCTAGTATACATAAAAATAATTTCTAAATTTTAAATTCACACTTCTGTGATAAATAAATCAACTAACTAGAGTACATTATTAGTATGCAATTCTTTGTGTCTTTAGCCTTATGTATACAGTCAGAACACTGTATTCCAAAATTTCTTCATTTGTAATGCAGTCAGATTCATTTGTTACTGTTTGTTTTTCATTTCAGCACCCCGAACATCTTGGTTGATTTTGAATGTATATTTACTTTTTCAGTATGTGAAACATTACATGTTTCTAAGAGTCAGAAATTTCCAAAAAAGTGTACTCAGAGAAATATCACTTCTCCTTCACTTTACTACACCATCTTCATTTTTACCATTCTTTCTATTTTTATTCCCCCTTTCTCCCTCCCCCATAGTCCCTGATATCATTAATTTCTTGTTTATACTTCCTAGACATCTTTTCCACAAATGAACAAATATGTGTCTGTTACCTTACACACATTTTCTGACATGAAAGATCAAACGGTATAGATATTTGGAAATCACTCCATGTCACTTCATAGAAAGCTTTCTCATTTTTTTTAAAGATTTTATTTATTTATTTTTAGAGAAGGAAGAGAGGGAGAACGAGAGAGAGAGAGAGAGAGAGAGAAACATCAATGTGCGGTTGCTAGGGGCCGTGGCCTGCAACCCAGGCATGTGCACTGACTGGGAATCAAACCTGCGACACTTTGGGTCACAGCCCGAGCTCAATCCACTGAGCTATGCCAGCCAGGGTGAAAGCTTTCTCATTCTTTGTGACACTCCTACTCCACTCTGCCTATGGGCCATAGTTTACTCAACCAATCTCCTATGTAAGAGCATTTAGATTGCTTCCAAAATGTTTAAAATTACAAGCAGTGCTGCAATGAATAAGTCTGCTAACCTGTTTATATTTTATTTTGTATTTTAGCTCTTTCTTCAGTATAGATTCCTAGAAGTGGGATTGTTGCATCAAAAGTAAGAACACACCCTTTTGTTATATGTTGCCAAATTTCTTTCTAAAAGGGTGTACCAGATTGCCTTCCCACCAGCTCTTCTTCTACCTCATTTTCCAGAAAATGGGGATTTTTATTGTGTTTCTTATCTTCTGACTTCCTTATAAAATTTCCTTTTAAAGCTTTTTACCTTCACACTTAGATGTTTAAATTGAACAAATGGGGGATCTCTGAGTCCCTGTATGGAGCATCTGGATAAATTTGTGTAAAGTATATACATGTGCCTTGAAACACAAATAGCGCCCTAACCCAGGCTTACCCCCTCTTTCTCCCAAGGCTGTTCCTGGGCAGTGTCTGGGTCCGATGGAGGGACTCAGACTCCCCGGTGGCTTCCTATTCTCACTGTGCTGGAGGCCCCGCAGCTGACTCAGCTCATCCTGGTTACCCACTCAGTGGTTCTTCTTCTTTGCTTTGCATCTGCATTTACATGTTTTTCACCCAAGACTTGATATCTTAGATCTTACCCTAACTCTGTTGACTTCTTTACTCAGTTTTGTTATAGACTTTGACCCCCTGTGTTTTCAGATTGATTCTTTCCTATTTCCACCTATCTGCTTGCATAATACTTTTAATTATTTTAGGGAACAAAGCTCCAATTATGAAACATTACTTTATAAATAAATCAAATTTTGTTTTTTCTCTAAACTCTGTTCTATATAATTTATTCAAACAATTATAGACATGACCAGAGCTTGATGATTTGATAATTTTAATAATTTTATAAATTTAAAAGGAGTGAAAAGTCTTATTTTAAAGTTGGTTCCCTCTGACTCGCTCTTGTGGAGGGCTTACGTCTATCAGAATGCCAGTTTTGACTGCTCTGTGGCTTCCTATCTCTCCAGGGGAAGATGCAAAGAAAGGCTTTTTAAAAAATTAAAATAGAGTTAATATACAATATTATATCAGGTTTTTGTATGATTAGGACCCATTTTCTCTTACAACAATGGCCCACAGGGACTGCTGACAAGCAGATGTTCTGTCTATAACATAATTTCATAAAATGCGAATCATTCAACAACTGCCTCAGAAAAATAGGGGCTGTACAAAGGTTTTATCAGCTCCTGAATTACAAAAACTTGTTACCTCTTTTTGCAGACTCCAAGTTGCCCAACTTCTACTTACCTCGCATATAAAAGTTTATAATAAAGAATTAAATGGAGTCTGAACTTTAGTCAGTGGGTTTTTATCAAAGATAAATGTAATTTCAGTGTCAAAAAAGAGATAATCTTGGAACATTCCTGACTCACTGTGGGCTCTCCCCTCTGCTGGAACCTCACTGAACACAGAGCTGGAGCGGTGGGGCCCTGAGCTGGCACCCTGCTGCCTGACGGGGTCAGAATTCCAGCTGAACGCCTGTGCCAGCGCCAGCTGAAACCTGTCACTAGAATGGGGCTTTCAGACAAATTAACGTCCCGGCCCGTTGTAAACCTCTTCCCACCCTGCCTCAATCTTACCGGGAGCAGAGATCCTTTAGAGCTGAGAAGACAGCAGCTTCAATGAGAAAGTGTTCAGTGCTTCGCCTCTTCTCTTTTCTTCTGAGTTTTACTGCACTGGATTCTCTCAATTTTCTCTCTCACTGACAATTTGGCCTTTTAGTTTTTTACCCCTTCGATGTCCTGGAACTTTCTGCTTTTTCTTCAGAGACCTAGTGGCTACAAACCAAAACTAACGATCAACTTCGGCAATTAAATAGACTAAAGCTGAAACTGAAAACACTGAGACCAGGTTAGGCAGCCACCCAGGAAAACAACTGCTGAGAGCTCTGCTAGAGAGAAGGTGTGACAGTTGTCTCAACTGGAATCCACAAAGTTTATCATTAGAGACTGCCTGCAGTACAAATAAAGTGCCCACTGGAAAAATTAACATAGAATTGACCCTTGAACAACATCAGTTTGAACTGTGTGATTCTGCTTAAGTGCAAATGTTTATATTTGTAATATAAATATGAATAAAAATCATCTTTACCTTAAATAATACCTACTCTTTATTTGGAGAAAAAGTTACATATAATGTACTGAGAGAATTGAAATCAGTGAGTGAACTAAACAAATTCTAATACTAAAGCTTTGTATGATGCTCATTTAAAATATTATCTAACGTCATTTGCCTATCTGGGAAATAGAGGTCCAGTGGGGATCACATAAAACTGTTATAGGCAGAAATGATGGTCTTTTAAATGAATAGTCCTGGGTGAATCAGGTATTTTTAGGAAAAACAAGAAAATGACTCCTTGCTTATACCATGCAGAAAAAAGCAATTCCAGGATTGTAGAATTAAATATAAAAAGCAAAAGCATAAAGCCTTTAGAAAACAATTTGGGAAGCTCATTTCTAAGTATTTGAAAATAGGGAAAGACTGTTAGAACACAAAATGTACCAAACACAATTGTAAAGACTGGCAAATTTGACTATATTAAAATTAAGATATTTTCTTCATCACAAGACACCATTTATAAAGAAAAAGGCAAGCCACATATGTAAGAAAACATAAAAAGACAAATGACCCATATACAGAACATATAAATAACTCCACAAAGACAGAATACTCAGTAGAAAAATGGGTATGAACTTAGGCACTTAGAAAAGAATATGTCCGAATGGCCATGAACACTAGAAAAGGATCTAACATGGATCATAAAAGAAATGTGAGTGAACATCACTCTGATATTCCAGTGCTCATCTATTAACATGGCTTAAATTAACAACACTGCTAGTTCCAAATGTTGATATCTTATTTACTCAGGGTTGAGTTCATTTTGTGATATTTCATCTACTGTTTACATTTGTTCTAAGCAATTTTTTGTTCTTATATCGCACATACATTTTTTAAAAAAATTAATCTTCTGGGAGCAGTCTTTGCACTAATAAAAAGGCCATTTGGGCTATAATCATACATGTGTTCTCCCCAATAGAAAGAAAACGCAGTGAACATGCCCTGCACTGCTGCTTCTCCAAGGCCGTGGACAGCTGATGATATTTTGAGCCCTTTGTGAAATAATTGGGAAACTGAAAGTCTGATCCAAAATTACCCACACTTCCAGGAAGTGTAGGCTCAGGTCCCAAAACAACCAGTGAGTGTATGGATACAGTACAAGGTTATTTTAAGCTCTAATCTGAAAGAAATTGGACAAGGATGAATCAGTTCTTCCTGTCTCTTTGCCTTCTCCAGTTTAACTGTCTGATTAATATTTTGTCAGTGATAAAGTCTATACTTTATTCCCATCTTTTTCATGAATGTAAAATTCTGTTTAATTCAGGACAAATTTGGAAACTTCATTTTCTGTTAATTGGAGACTGAAAGTGAAAGTAAGGCAGGGCTACTTTGAAATAGGATTAATACTGAGAAATCAGGTGCTCCTTTTTCTGACCAATGAAGTCTATTGTTCATTTCAGCTGACAAAAAATAGTTCCAGGAATATTTGGATCATCTTGTAAATTGTATAAAATGTGAAGGTAAATAAAGATGAATTTTTTTTATGCTTATAACCTGAAAAAAAGCCTATTTGCATGTCCTCTTTTAGAATGTTTCCTTGGAAACAATCAGCCAGTGCCTTCTTTGGGTTTTTGTTTTTTGTAAACTTCTGAATTTAATAAAACTCTCTAGGGATTAAATAAAACCATTGTCAGCTTTACAACTCCAGGTGTCCAGGCTTCATCCTTCTTTTGTAGTATAAATACCCAGAAAGCTAGCACCCCAGGCTTCCTGACAACTTGGAAACTTAATTCAGGTAAGTATCCTGGCTGTAACCATTTCTTCTCAGGGAAAAATGTTTTATTATGCTTGTGGATGACAGTTGTTAATTAAACAGTGGCTACCTCAATTTTCAGTGAGCATAGTGTGCACTCTATAAAAGAAGGGACAGAAAGTTAAGGATGAAACAGCAAATTCTGCTTTCAGCCCTCTTATGAAAAAAGAAGCAGGTTACCAATAATCCAAGGAAATACATTAGGTACCGGCTATAAACAGTACAGAAGGATTTTATCTGCTTGGATATATGAAGAGAGTAAAATTTCATCCTGACTTTCTAGTCACTTTCATCTATCTGCATGCATGTGCTTGGCTCTGCTTACTCAATACTAAAATTGACTTCTTCTTTTCTATATTTTTATGAAGAGGCTGATTTTTGTTGGTAAATCTTTTAATTCACCAACAATATGAAACACCTGAATTTGCTGCCTTCCCTCCAAACCCCTTTCCAGATGAACTAAAGTAATTATCTGTAGATAAATTTGGCTATGCTGGTTGAAAATTATTCAATTTATGGTATGTATAAAATTAATCTATTTATAAAAAAACTTATAAAGCAGTAATTATTATATAAAAGCCCAAAAGCATAATAAATGCTTTTTTGAACTACAGGAGGTTAATGAGGCTTCATTCAACCAAAATAGTTTTTCACGTTGAATTCCATGAAGGGTGGTCTAACAGGGGTGTCCAGCATTGTGGCGTCTCTGCACCACACTGGAAGAAGAGCTGTTTGGGGCCACACATTGAATACATCGCAACATGTAATAAGAAGAAATCTCATAATGTTTTAGGTAAATGTATGACTTTGTGTTGAGCCACATTCACAGCCATCTTGGGCTGCATGTGGCCCTCAGACTGGACACTGCTGGGCACTACAAACATCTTGTTTGAGAAATAGTGGTTTTTGTTATTATTATTATTATTTTTTAACAGCTAGCAGACTCAGCTATGGGGCCTAGTGAAAATACTCAGACAGGAAAAGTTCTATCTTTTAACACCCTGCTACACAAACTTTGGTGAAAGTTGGCCTCCATCAGGTGCTCACAGGACAGTGAGGGTGGGGCAGGCAGGCTGGGCATTCCACAGTTCAAGGTGGAACAGCAGTGCCTACAGGACAGAGACAACCCTTGCTTTTTCCAGGAGACTTGAACTAAACTGCAAGTAATAGGAGCCGATCAATGAGACAAAAACAAAAGATAAAGAAGGAAAGAACCCACGTGACAGTGTGCAGTCTGCTAAAACTGGGAGTGGAACAGTGATACTAAGGCAAACCTGGCACTTCAAGCCTTACATAAAGAACAATGGAATTGTAGGACTTCACTGGAGAAACTGGAGGCTTGTGGTACCCTGAAATTAGCCATAGAAAAAAGCACTATGGATTTTGCTAAAAAGATTAAAAATTGAACTGCCTTATGACCCAGTAATTTCACTTCTGGAAACTCACCTGAAGAAAACTGAAATACTAATTCAAAAGAATATTTGAACCCCTGTGTTCATTGCAGCATTATTTACAATAGCCAAGATTGCCAAGATTTTAATCTTTCCAAGATTAAAAATTAACCTTTAACTTATGACAGAGTTCTTCCTTCATAAGGGTGGAGAAAAAACTATCTTCTGTTAAATTGATGAGGAAATGAGTCCTCCTCCTCCTGAAAACTACTTTTGCACTTACACTTCACACCACATGTGAAAATCAGTTTTCAATGGATTATAGACCTAAATGTGAAAAGTAAAATAATAAATACTTTCACATGAGAGAAAGCATTCTTACAGAACACTCCCCATTGCTATCCATACAAGTAAAATATTGTTTGACATTAAAATGAAAAACTTCTTGTAATGGAAACACCATAAAATGGCTTGAAGCAAGTCATGGAGTGGGAAATGACATTTACCAATCACTAGACAACAAAAAGTCATTTTCAGACTATATAAGAAGCTGCTAAAAGTCAAGAGAAGACAGACAACCCAATAAAAAGAGACATCAACAAGGCTTTCACAAAAAAGTAAAAAGTAGCAAACAAGCATATGAAAGGTGTTCCACTTGATTGGTATGAGAAATATGCAAATTAATGTCTCAGTGAGCTACCAGCACACAGACACTGTAGTAACAAAAGTTAAAAATTCTGATGTAGAGGGCAGTCACATGATGCTGGTAAGTAGGCATGTGGCTGCCGAGAGTGTGCAACGATGTCAAATCTGAATCTAAAAAGGCTGAAGACACACATCCTCCACGACCTAGGAATCCCACCTCAGGGTTGGTTACACAAGGGGATTTTATACATATGTGCACAGGTATACATGTGCAAAAATATCTTTAATAACACCTTATTCAAGATAAATCTGAAAATCCAAATGTGTATCAAAAATTGCTTTGATCTCCACACAGTACCATATAGAGAGCCTGCACCTACACACAACCGACCACATAGGTGAGTTTTATAAATATTTTACTGAACAAATGAAACAAGATACAAAAGAATTCATAAAATGTAATTTTTCTTATATAAAGTTTGAAAGCAGGCCATACTAGGTTATGTTATTCAGGGCCTCATGTCTATATGATGAAATCTTAGAAAAGAATTATGACGATTGTGGGATCGATCAGCTTCACAGGGCTGTCAGAGGTGTAATATGTTCAACCTCTTTATGGATAGTCAATGTTAGGATACTCAATTTCTGTACCTGGCAGCAATTTAGGTATCATTTGATAATGATAAGTATGTTTATTTTGTGTACTTTATATTTTATGCATGCTTCTATATATGTTATACTTCATAATTTTGAAAAACAGGAGAAGGGTATGTAATTATAAAAATATTGCTTTGAAAAAAAGCAAAAATTGAGTTGTAACTGATTGAGCTATGGGGTTGAGATTTTTTTCCCCCTGTTTCTTTTCCTTTCTCACTTCCTTTCTATTATTCCTTAAATTGGAAATATTCATTGTTGAGGAGAGGAATTCTATCTCTGGAAAGACAACATAGATGTACTTTTCCTTATTTCTCATGCCAAGTATAACAACAACAAAAAAATCTTGACTATTT